CTTTTGTGTCACTTGCACTGATCGTGACATCTCGAAGGGCCGCTTCGCCAACTTACAACGGCTGCCCTTTACTTTACCCGCTCTGTAAATCAATCTCACTGTTATTATGATAGATGTATTTCTGGGCTCGAGGTTAGAGAAAAACAGAGCATGGTGATTAGATATTAAGATGGGTGGTTTAGGGAATTAGTGACTACTGGAAATATGTTTGTTTTTTCAGGTCAGGGTTATGAATATTTATGTTTTCATGGCTGAAGGGTTAGCTCTGTCCAGGATCCACATCTACTGTGTTAAATGAAGCAGGCAGTTATAAATTAAATTCAGCAGCAGTGCTTTATTTTCCCAACACCCTTACTGTTATTTTGTGGTAGTGTAGATCAGGAAAGGAAGATGAATAACAAGATTTTTCAAATATGATTTACGCTACCAAATTATCATATTCATTATAACATGTATTTATTATATTTTACTGTAAAAGAACAACTTGATAAAAAGTTATTTTTACCGAAGCTACTGGTGCAGAATAAAAAGTATATAACCCAATCATGAACAGATTATTGCACCATGCAAAGGTAATTCTGGGGGTTTAGATACCCAGTCCTTCAGTGACTCTATTTATTAAGAATAAACATTGAATAAATAATTAGAAAAGTTAATGTTAAGAAATTCTGATAAAATTCATCAAGTGTAAATAGTTGGCATTTCTTAAGCATAAATATGCATACATATTTTGCACATAAAAAACACCCTATTCAGCTGCACATTTCTTTAATTTCTTTTTTGATCATGCTACTTTAATAACTGTACGGTATTTTGTTTAGAAAGCAGATTTGTTCCTACTGTATTTCTTGTCCTTGTGTGAAATATTAAATTTGTTTATAATAATATGCATAAAATGTGACATACAAAGATAAAGGGAACTATAACATTGTTATAAACAATGCATGGGTAAAAAGCAACTAAAGAAAAAAAATACAACTTAAGAGAAAACTAGCTGCATCTGCAAGACACTAACCTTTGTCATTTTGTATAGTAGAGGATCAGCTAGAACAAGCTAGAGACTGTCTACAACCAGGGCCTTTTGTTAAAATAATACCTCAATGGTCACTATAACCACGTTTCTAACACATTTAGTAGAAAAGTTAAGGTTTAAAATTGTTAATCGGAGGAATTGCTGTTTTTCAACAAGTAACATCTCAACAGATTGGGTGTACAGTTTATTATATTGCACAACAGAGATGTGTTCTTAACTGTTAAAATTAAACAGCAAGCAGATAATCTAGACTTTATTGCAGTATATCATTATAAATCAGACACATGCAAATCAATCTATTAGAATATGATCCAAAACTGTTTTTTGATTGTTAGAAAAAGGAAGCAGTAAAGATAAAAAAAGAAAGAAATAATGACAAAATAATGAAATGATAAAAGGGCCTATTTTACAAAATTGAAATGTACAAAGACACAAATATGCATCAATTTAATGGATTATAATGAGAAAAACAAACAGCCAGGCATTACTCACCACAGATAAAAATGTATGAGTCCACGGAGAGAAAAATGGGTGTTTTAATCCAAACAAGAAAGCTCAGATCCAGCAAAAATCAGCAGGGTGAGGGTCAGTGGACAGGACAGCAGCCCACTGAACCAAATTAAGGCTGGCACTCTGCAGAAGGCACAAGGACCTTTTAAGGACAGGGCAGCTTTAAATTTAGACCATGAGAAGGGTTTCAGGAGCCTTGGGCCTGGCCCCTCAGCTGTTCCACTGTACTTCAGAGACTGGTTAGGGCACCTTAAGAGCTCTGTATGAAGCACAATCCTGCTATATGATTCAATTCCAACAGCTCTCAACAACATGTGCTCAGTGTTGTCACTTACTACATGTAATTAAGTTTATCAGCATGAATGTCAGTGATCTCTATGACATAATTAATATTAATTAATATCCTACCCCCTTTGTAGAACCATACATTTGGAATACAAAAAAAAATAAAAAATAGATTTGACTTGGATTTATGACATAAATCAGAACAATTTCAGGAATGTTGGAAGTTCATTCAAATTATGTACAAATGCTGCCATCTAGTGACAATAATAATAATAATAAATATAACCGTTTGTCCCATTTAGAAAAGATTAATTCCTATTATTATCGATTTATTTTTTCATGGTTGTAGCCTGTTAACCCGAGAAAATGCATATCCCCTATTACTATAGATTATTATTTAAAAAAATAATTACTTCAGGTTAAAACAAAAACAGATGCGGGTATGTGAGAATGGAACATTCCAGAGAGTTGGTTCTTTCCAGCTCTGCTCCGCTCCGACTGGGATGTGCCGTTAGCTTTGTTTACTGCTCTGCACATTATACATTTCTTCTCAGGTGGGTCATTCATTTGCAATTTAAAATGCTCACAGAACGTACTCGAATTGAGAAAAGAGCGATATATTTTTCCTCCAAACAAAGCTAGTATTCTAAAGCTAATTGTAATGTAGGTCAGGGGACATGGCTAACTTCATTAAATAATATGTTTTTATTAAATTATATCCGCAAGATAAAGCATAATAGGTTCGATGTGTATTATTATAGGGCATACATATTCAAATATATGTCAAAATCTCTTGTTTATTTAATATATTGTATGTTTGTTACAGTACCGCTAGCTTAGTCTGATGTTTAATAAAAACAGTTGGTAAGAATGGTTGGTAACAGAGTTGGTAAGAATTATTATTTTTTTAAACAAGTGACAAGATTTTTGCCATATAAAGTAATTCCAGCAATATTTTTTTATTGGTCAATATGTGCTTATTTGATATGAGTTGATATAGTTTCATATGGATTGTCAAGTTTCCGAGGTACTTTGAATGCCCCATTCGACTCCCCTTTTGTGTTTTATCTAATTCCTGTGTAAAAACACTTCAAAACAGACTAAAAGGTCTGGCACTTTTGATCTGAAGTATTAAGTGCTCACAGAATTTGTTTCCTACCCACACTGGGAAAGTATTTAATGTTATTTTGCCTAGACAAATATAGGGAAAAGTTATAAAAAAAATGGGAATGATTTACAGTATATTTTTTATTGGTCTGTGTTTAGTTATTTGAATCTACTCATCATTCTTTGCCTCCACACTTTCTCTTCATTTGATTTGTCAATTCATTGAGTGAAGCCTTTATCTGATTATACACATTTGTCTGTGCACCAATCTACCCAATTTTTGGTCCATCCATCCATGCTGCACTTTTGCATGGTTCATGTTTCATTTAAAATGAAGATAACATTTTTCGTCAATATATTCAATCTAGAATCGCCAAGTTGGTAAAAAGTAGTTTCTACTGGTTTATTTTGGAAAAAAAAAATCTTTAAGGAACCTTTGGTTGTCTGATTATTAATCGATAAATCGAAAAAATAATCGATAGATTATTCGATTAACAAGATGATCGTTTGTTGCAGTCCAACTTAAACCATAAAAATTCTCTTATATCTAAATTAGCTAAAACAATGTATGTAAAAAAATAAATATATATATAAATGCATCATGCAGGGTTTTACCTTGAACATCTATCAATACCTCCATCATAAGTGGATAGTCACCGTATAAATATTAGTCTTAAGACATCTTTTTGCATTTACAAGTTGATAAATGAACAAAATTGACTGTTTCAGCATTTCCTCCATTGCAGACAGGTCCCTCTACCCAGCAACATGTCAAGTAAAAGAGCAAAGGGGAAGAACACCAAGAAGCGCCCCCAGCGGGCCACGTCAAACGTGTTTGCCATGTTTGATCAGTCTCAGATCCAGGAGTTCAAAGAGGCTTTCAACATGATCGACCAAAACAGAGACGGATTCATTGACAAAGAAGATCTCCATGACATGCTCGCCTCATTAGGTGACTTTTTTTTCCACATAAAATCATGTTCAGACTATCAGTTCAAAACCCTTGAGGCAATTTAATATGGTAGAAGAAAGAGATGTTATTTAGTTTAGTGAAGAAAGTTATGAAACCTTGAATACGCAACTAAAGTAGATGAATACTAAGTTTTTCTTCTTTTTGTGTTGAATTTTCAAGGTAAAAATCCTACTGATGAGTACCTGGAGGCCATGATGAATGAAGCTCCTGGGCCAATAAACTTCACCATGTTTCTGACCATGTTTGGAGAGAAGCTGAACGGCACAGATCCAGAGGACGTGATCCGCAACGCATTCGCCTGCTTTGACGAAGAGGGTACAGGTAAGTTATAGTGCTTCAGCAAGCTTTTTTTATTCTCCATCCTCCAAAGATTTAAACGCGTCTCTCCTCTCAGGTGTGATCCAGGAGGAGTACCTGCGGGAGCTGCTCACTACCATGGGCGACAGGTTTACCGATGAGGAAGTGGACGAGCTCTTCCGCGAGGCGCCGATTGACAAGAAAGGCAACTTTAACTACGTAGCTTTCACACGTATTTTAAAACATGGAGCCAAGGACAAAGATGATTAGTGGCGGCAGATGTGCCTTTCGAGGTTCACTCTGCTCTTCATTTGAATCTTTTAAACGGGTTTCTGTTTTAATTAGATCAGCTATATCCTTAGTTTGGCTGATGAAAAGCTTCTCTGTGGTATAGCCTGCTGAAGGTCATTTGTTCAAGCTGCTTCCTTGACCTCTGGGTCCCCCCTCCCCTTTTCAGAGCTCTTTTGCACATCTGTGATGACACTACAGGGTCCAATTATGTAAGTAAAAGACAGGCGAAAAAGACCCTGATAGAGAAAGCTGGAAATAAACTGACACGAGGTGTATAATTAAGACAAATAACTTGTGTTTTTGTAGTAATGTTCTGACATTAAATTGTGGTCTGAAACAAGACAGAATCTCTGTTCATTTTGCAGAAACAAAACTTAACACCAGTTAGCATGACCGTACGATTCTACAGATAAGGACACAAAGTACGACAAACACCTCAGGTGACTTCAGGTTTCTTTATGTCAGATCAAAATAATAAAAATGCATATCCAGAGGTACATGAACTAAACTTGTAAATGGTCATTTCTGACAATGGTTGGGGTTTAAATGTTTGTCTTATTTATGCATTAAAACAGCAGATTTGTGTTCTAAACCCTAAACTCGTAAAATCATAAATATCTCTTTCGTATTTAAGAGAATTTTACAGTTTGATTTAGGTACTTTTTAAGGTCTGGATTAATGTGAAAATACAAAATAAAATTGGTATTAAGAAACCTAAAAGTTGTCCAAATAGGACTTTTATCTGGAAAAGCATGTATGTGTCTGAACTGATTACTCTTTGCTCTGTTGTATTTCCAGCAGTCAAAACAGAACATTACCGGTAAGAACAAATAAATGTGGTCTTGAATTCAAGAGACATTTGAAACCGGAACAAACACACAAAAAAAGATTTCTGACATGCATTTTGTTAAAGAATTGTTTTAAGCCTCTAAAGAAGTGTCCAAAGCAATAACTGGGTGTTGGGGTGGAAAGAACACAGACTGCAGAAGACCTCAATGTTGGGGACTGACATCCGTGTTTTCAAACGATTGTTGTGAAAATCTTTTCTACACATCGCACTCCTCACAATAAATAAAGTAGGATCTGCTTCGCACTTGAAGCAGTCTTTAGATCTTTGCATTGCTCATAGAGCAACTTAAAGCACACAACACAGAAGAGTTGTCTACTCCGCCAGAGCCAGATTTTTGGATTGGACCTTTGTTAGGTGGTCTGATATACAAGCCTCGATCCTGTCGCACTGCGCCAGGAAATCCTATAAACACAAAATTATCATAGTTATTCCTTTTAATCAAGACCGTTAAAAAATGGGTGTACTTTTAAGAATAAACAAATAATATTAAACGCCAACCTGCACTGTTTTTACCAGGCCCCTTTTCTTCGTTCTGCAGTCAGCAAAGTTTTCTGGGAGGCTCTGAAATGAGAAGAAAGCTAAAAATGTTAAATAAGTCACTATAATTAAAACATCCCTGAAAATAAATAGAGTATACCAAAGCAGATCACCATGGCATCTATCTGCTCCAGGATTTTCATGAACTGCTCAGCTGCTATTTTTACTCTGTGATCTAGTTTACTCAACGCTTCTGCCTGGAGGTCTTTGGCGAGGAAGCCCTGACAGAAGAAGAAGAAAAAAAGGCTGTTTATAACTTACTGAAACACATTGTGGACAAAACACTCAGTAAACAACAGTTATGCCGCCATAACCGACTGCTTACGTTCTTTAATCCAGTTAGTTCCCCATCGACCGTCTCCAGCTTTTTAGCCATCTGCTCCACAGACTTTTCAATTTCTTTCAACTTCTTCAGTTCAGCCTCTTCCTCTGGGCTGTTCTGTTTGTAGATTCATGTAAGTATCTCCTTATTTACACATGCTCAGACCTTAGACATGGCGAGTGTAAAATCCTTACCCGCTTTCCAATCATCATGAGTTTGCAGCCTGTTTTTATGTCACAACTGGAGAGAGTCACTTCCATGTCTTTCAGAGACCTTCCTGTAGTGACAGGTTAAAGCTAGATATCAAAATGAACTCGACTTCTATGAGAACACTTCTAATTGAATAGCAGTTTACCTTTAAAAATGAGTTTCTGTGAGGTCGGAGGGACACCAGTAGCTTCACTAAGAGCATCTGACAAATCTTTAACGGTGGGCCCTGTTCCATCCTCATGGCATGCTAGAGTGATGCTGTGCTTAGTCGATCCTTAAAAACACAAAAATATAATTTAAATAAAAACATATCAAAGCAGAATCAATGTAGGAATTTAATGACAAATTATGTACTGATTATTCAGCAGAGTTTTTCAAATGACTAAAGACATAAAGATAATTACAAACGTCCCCTAAACTTAAAATAGGGTTAGGGTAACCCTTGAAATAATAATCAGCAGTATTCAATCTGACCCTAAATGATGACGTCAGCTGAAAGAAAAACCCACTAAACACTGAAAATAATCATGCAACCATTTTACTTAATCATATTAAGTTACTTTAACACAATTGTTTTATGTCCTTACCTGCTATTATGAAATTATTTTGTTAAAGTATCTAAATATGATTAAGTAACAGCCAAAAACAGTTGCATTATTTTTTTCAGTGAAGCAGTAACTATACCAAAATTGTAAAATAAATATAAATACATTTTGCATTTAAGATTAAAAAGAAAATTTAATCTGTCAATATGCTCTATCCAGAACTTCTGAAGTCAAAAAGTTTTAGTTTCAACAAGTTTAAATTGCAGAAGAAAAATATTCCTTTAGGAACTTTTAGCTATTTAATTATTAATTTATTAAGCGAAAAAGACAATCCAAAGATCAATCGATTAGTGTAAAATGATCATTAGTTGCAACCCTAATATTGATTAGAATAAATAAAAGCCATGCATAACTGGTTCATTTTTTTATGGTTAACACATTTTTATTAATAATATTTTGAAAATGCAGTCCTCATTTTAGATATTTTTTTTACATTAAAGATTCTTCTGTAAATGCTAAATAGTGTAGCAATATTTATCAAAAAACATGTCACATGCATATAAATATAAACATGCACAGAAACTTAACAAGGAAAATTTACTGCATCAAATACGTTTTAGAACAAATACAGGCTTAAAAGAGCGGTGTCATTAATCATGTTCTAACATAATAATTTTTTTTTATAAATTTTCTAGATATCTCTTTTTAAAGTGTGTAATGTTTAAAAGTGATTTACTCCATTGTAACATGAATTATTGCTAAGGATGAGCTACATTAGTTAGCATCTCAGCCCAAAGTCCGCCTGATAAACAAAAGTCATCATTCTATTACCAGCTTTAGGTTAATGCTTTGAATTGTATTACCGTAAGCAACTGTCACAGTTATTGTTTCCTCTGACATTTTGCGCTCTGGCTCCCGTCCTTACATTAAACACACTACGCTGCTAACATTTACTAATTGCTAACCTTTTCCGGGACAACAGGAAACACTTCCTTCTTCTTCTTGTTAAAATTTTTATTGCGGTTGGCAAAAACGTTAGGTGAGCATTACCGCCACCAACTGGTAAGGTGTGTGGACCGGAAACACTTACTTCAATGTTCGGATTTTTTTTTGTAAGAAGTTTTCGGTAACTAATACATGCATATAAAATCAATCATAACGTCCTTACAATATACCACGTGGCCTCATTATTTTTAGAGTTTGTATTTTTTGGGGGGATGGTACTTGCACATCGGAACTCAGAACTATTTATAACAGGATGACTACTCGTGAGTTATTTAAAAGTTTGTTTCTCAGAAACTGTGGGCCGTCCAACTGGCTCTGTGGCGCAATGGATAGCGCATTGGACTTCTAGCTAAGCTCAAAGGATGAGATTCAAAGGTTGTGGGTTCGAGTCCCACCAGAGTCGGATTTTTATGGAAATTTCACGCTGTTTTAATGTGTCACTATACCTTTCCGTACGGTGGAGCCCTGCAAAAACATACGAATTTTAAATGTTTCAAATACTTTTTGTAGTTTGTGTAAAAATTACTGCATCTTCACAAAGCATGATTCAAATTCCTCAACTTAAACTAGATACCATGTTTTTTTTGCAAAACTCTACAAAAGAGCAATCATTTTTTTTTGCAGGAAGTAGTTTGCTCCTCCACTGACTTTTCAAAAAGTTTGTAAGCTCCATCACAACAACAAAACTGCTCTGGTATATCGGTTAGTAATACTTGTACTTGTATTTTTATTTTCCTTTAAAAGTTTTGTTTCTTTCTAAATACTATGCAATATGCAATATGGTGTACAAAAAAAAAAAAAAAGAAAAGAACATTGATGGCATATAGCAGGGGTCTTCAACGTTTTCCAGGCCAAGGACCACCAAACTGATGGCGAGATGGAGCGGGGACCCCTTAATTATATATATTGTATGAAATTGTGTTATATCAAACTGTTCCTATAGTCACTCTATTACAGATGGAGTCATGTAACCTGGGATAATTAAAGTATTTCTGATTCCTTGTTAATGGGACAAGTGTTGTGAATGAAACGGTGCCCTATGGGGCCAAAATTGTTGCTTTATTATTTGGAAATGTGTGTGGAGAGTTGTGTATCTGTATCTCGATTTGTGTGTGTGCAGTGGGGTTTGAAAATATGTAAATAAAACTCTAAATATGTGAGATCATCACAAAATTATTGAAGGGATATCAAATTTTTTGAGGACTTAAGAAAATAATTAATCTTTTGTAACTTTTTTTTTTCCTCGCCTAACTTTTACTGACATCTTACATAAAAAGAAAACTAGGGGACTCTTGTAAAAGAAAAAAAAAAAAAAACCTTTTAGGTGACATTTCCACTCAGAGAAAATACTGTATCTTGGATCTTTACAAAGATCCAACACAAACATTTTTTAATAAATGTCTCTTGCAAGGGTCAGTACTGTACTTTTGCAAAAATGTTGTTAGAAAATTAATTGTAAGGAACTAATACACAATAACAGAAAGGATTTAAAAATAAATGCTTTTAAATTGTGCATCAACTCTTTTCAGGTTGAAAAACGGCTTTTCTTAGGGAGGGATCAATGAAAAAGGTTACCAAACCAAACCAAAGGAAATCCAAAACATATGACTTAAAGATAGATAATAATCTCAGATATTATAAATAAAACTGGCCATGTATCAGAATTACTGGATTTAAGTCTTAGAAACTACTATGAAATAAGCAGTTCAAAATTGGTAATACATAGTAAAGATCCACTGATACAGTTTTATTTTTAGGCTGATGCTAATACCGATTATTTTGACATCAGTTTATCTGATCCCCAATTTTTGCTGTCAAAATTTGTGGGGCTGATTCTTTAGGACGATATTTCTTTCTCTTCCTCCAGTTACATGATACAAAAGAGTTGTTATATTAAAAAGAGAAATATTTATTAACAGATCAAAGAAAGCATTAACAATAGATCGCAAATGGGGCATATTGCCTAGATGAGTACTTTATGTGTTAATGAATCGGCTGAAGCATGGACATATCTGCCGATATCGATACAAGAAAAGAAAACCAAATATCAGCCAAAAATATCAGCTGCCTAATGTGTCGATCTATCTCTAATACATAGGTAGAAGAGAAAAAATCCCTACAAAGAAAAAAAGGCATTACAATCAATAAGTTACCAACTCAAAGTTAAGATAAAAGACATCATTTATTTTGCACGTTTCAAGTACCCCTGCAGATATTTCAAACAGGCAGAGAATGAAAATCAGCTCCACCTTGGAGATCTTAAACAATCAGATAAGGACTTAAACAAAACATAAAGCTAATAAATTATACAAATTAACCATGAAATTAACTAATAACACTAAAACGTTAGGGAGGACAAACAGGTAGAAAACAATGGCAAATAATTATCTGAAAGGCCACATGCCTAACATGGTAGTCGTAACCTTACACAATCCAACACCAGGGCAGCTTCGGAATAGTAGTGTTCTCAGATCCAGTGTGTTTGCATGTATAAATGTTACTCTACATGGAAAAGTGTTTTCAGTTGAAGTGCAGCTGTCTCCATTTTGCTTTTATGTGGCTGGGATCTGAGGTAGGCCGAACTCATCCACCAAAACACCATCCTAAAAAAGAAAGAAATCATCTAGATTAACCACTTCTTTATTTGACTGTAAATAAGTAAAACACACAGTCATATACTTCCAACTATTACATTTATATGCTGTAAAAAAAAAAAAAAAAAACTCCCATAAATGACCTTTTGCTGTCCAATTATTATTCGCTCAAACTGTAGAAAATAAACATATTAATTAATTAGCAACTCTATCTGAATTAAACATTAGCCTACTGAAAGACTTGATATGTGAGATGAAATACGCAGCTAGGAAAAATGACAAATTTGACAAATGAGAAAAAAAAGAGAGAAAATAAATCTTTATTTAAAAGAAATATCACATCTTTTGTTAATATCTAACATTATCATTACATAATGTGAACAGAGAGCTGTCATGAGTTTTGGGAAACCTCCTTTTCTTTTATATTCCCTTTGAAATTCTGCACAAGTTTAACATGATCCATTAGTATTCTAATGAGATACATCAACAGGAAGAACTGCCCGTGTCCTCACTAAGACTAAGAAAGTAGAGCACATCAACCCAGTTCTAGTCCTTACACTGGCTCCCTGTATCTCAGAGAATAGACTTTAAAATACTTCTGTTAGTCTATAAATCTCTGAATAGCTTAGCACCTAAATAAATCACAGACTTGCTATCAGTGTATCAACCCTCCAGACCACTCAGGTCTTCTGGCTCCAGCCTGCTCTGCATACCTAGAACCAGAACTAAACATGGAGAAGCAGCATTTAGTTCCTAAATTCCAGAGAACTGTAAAAGTGCGGAAAGCCTGAATTCCTTTAAATCAAGACTAAAGACACATTTGTTTAGGATTGCCTTCGACTTTTCTAGTTAAAAAGTTTAACTGAAACATCATTAGTTCATCAAAAGTAGTTGCTTTTTTATTTTCTTTAGTCTAACTGTTTTTTTTATTTTTTTTCTTTCTGCATTTTTTATTTATTTATATATTTTTCCTACTTGCTTTGATTCTGTTTTATTTTCCTATATTTTAATCATGTAAAGCACTTTGCATTGTCTTTGTACTGAATTGTGCTATACAAATACATTTGCCTTAAAATCTCCCTGAAATACACATCCAATGCTACTAAACAAGTCCTTTAATCATTTGGTGGA